CAGCTGGTGATGTTTATAGTTTTGGTATTATCATGCAAGAAGTTATTCTTCGTGGACCACCATTTTGTATGCTTGATCTTACACCACAAGGTTTGTTTGTTTTTTTTAATGAATAATAATGATTATGTTTATTTTGTTTCATATAGAAATTATTGCTAAAATAAAAAAACCACCACCATTATTAAGACCATCTGTATCAAAACAAGTTGCACCACCGGAATATATTAATTCAATGAAACAATGTTGGGCTGAACAAGCCGAAACACGACCATCATTTAATGATCTTGCTCAATCAATTAAATTACTTAACGGTGGAAAGTAAGAATTTATAGTAAAAATATTCATGACAGTATTATCGCCGTCGTGAAGGCGTATTATTTTTTTTTAGTCGTAATAGAAATCTATGATTTATAAATAGAAAAAAAAAATTATCCAGGGTAGTGCAAAATTTTTTACATTAATTTTGTTTTCAGTATAGCGTGACAAGAGCTCATCATGAAGATTTCTTACTTATTAGACAGAGCAATGTTTCTACTGGAAAGATGTGTAAAAATATATTTCCCAGGATGTTAGAAAAGAACTTTCATTCATTAAGAAAGTTCGTCTTATTTTCCGTCTTTTTTTTATACAGATAAAAATAAAGTTTTCAAGTTATTGGTTGAATTTGATATCGATATTTTATCTAACGCTGTTTGCTAACATAAATTGTTCACAACGAAAAAAAAAAAATAAGATTTTTTCCAGCAATCAAAGGCAGTGAACCCTAGACAAAAGCACATTATATTAGACATTTTGAGAAAACCTTCTTTGGTCGTTGTCGAGGGTAAATCGATTTTTTTAGTCAAATATGTTACTAGAAAGAAAAGTATCAAATCTTTACGATAAGCTATTATTACTCTACACTGAAAAGGAAACTAATGCAGAGCTTTTGCATTGTTTGTTCAAATTCATCTATATTGAATTATTTTTTTTTTATAGAAAAGTAAATATTGTTGATACAATGTTTAAAATGCTTGAACAATATTCAAATAATTTGGAAGATTTAATTAAAGAACGAACAACACAACTTGAAGAAGAAAAGAAAAAAACCGATAAATTATTATCACAAATGTTACCACCGTATGTTATTTTCTTAATATTTTTGTCTTTTTGGTTTAAACTAATCAATGGATTGATGTACTTGTTTATTTATTTATTTTCTCAGGAGTGTTGCTGATAGTCTTAAATCGGGTAAAGCTGTTGAAGCTGTATGGTATGAATGTGTAACAATATATTTTTCTGATATTGTTGGATTTACAACAATATCAGCATTGAGTAGTCCAATGGAAGTTGTTGATTTACTCAATGATTTATATACGATGTTTGATTCAATTCTAGAAGATTTTGATTGTTATAAGGTGAGCAAAAAAAACTAATTATTGTAAAGAGCTACAAGAAAGATGGTACTGCTTTTTTTCGCAGAATATTATATGTTAAACTTTAGTTCTGTTTTCAATGAACAAATCATGCAAATGTATTTCTTTTCATGAGAACCTTAAAAAACCGATAAGAAAGTTTTATATATACCAAAAACAATCTAGACTTTCATTTTGTTTTCGATCTCTGTTAAATAAAATGTATTTCAAGCGTTGCCATAACTAAAATAATTTCCTACAGTTTTATTGATACTATTTACTAAAAGACTGATAGTCCTATCATAGAATTTCTTGTATTTTTACGCAATCTTTCACATATTGAAAACGATTGTAAAACAATTTAAGCATTTTTTTTTAATAATAATATGTTAAAATTTTCAAGGTTGAAACTATTGGTGATGCATATATGGTTGTCAGTGGTCTACCAATTGAAAATGGTAATCAACATGCTTCAGAAATAGCTACCATGGCATTAACATTATTACATGCTTGTGGTAAATTTAAAATTCGTCATATGCCTGGTGTACCATTACAATTACGTATTGGATTACATTCGGGTGCATGTGTTGCTGGTGTTGTTGGTCTTAAAATGCCTCGATATGTAAGATGAAAACAAAAAAAAACGTTTATGTTAATTAGATGATTTTATTTTATTTTCTTCTAGTGTTTATTTGGTGATACAGTCAATACAGCTTCTCGAATGGAATCAACTGGCATGGGTATGTAAAGAAATACATATATGTGATGGAAATATTTTTATAGATTATTCTTTTCTTTTTGTCTAGCTTATCGTATCCATTCAAGTGAAACAACTGCTGGATTATTAGAAGAAATTGGTGGTTTTCATTTAGAATATCGTGGAGTTACAGACATTAAAGTAAGAGTTAATTAAAAATAAAAACAAAATATGTATATATTGATTTATTTTACTCTAAGGGTCGAGGTAATTATAAAACTTATTGGCTTACAGGAAAAGATGGTTTTGATAAAGAATTACCACCACCAGTTATATCTGAAAATAATCATGGGTAAGAAATACAGGCGACTATAAAGTTTTCACTTTACACAATAGGACGTATGTAAACTTTTAGAGCATTTGAATTTGAAAAAAAAAACATTCGAAGTAAACATTGCATTAATAATATATTCCGTTGAATTTTGAACTATTGAAGCAATAGTATTTCATTTGACTTTAATACAAAATATTTCGTCATAATCCAGTATTCTATTGTATAATTTAACTTCTTTAGATGAACGTATTTGATCTGAAAATTTTCCTTGAGTTGCTGAAGAGATATTTATGTGTGAGTTTTTATTTGAACTTTCGGAACACACAGTATTTTCTTTTCTGTAATCGAAAAACTTATAGTCGTCTTTCTATTATAAAAACAAACTTTTAATGACTTTTGTGTTATTGATTTTCTAGACTTGACAAAGAATTAGTTAAATTAGCTGAAAAAAGTGCACGTGAACGGGAAAAACGTGAACGAGAAAAACGTGAACGTGAAGTTCAAGAGAAACCATCACAAGCATCTGCCACAACAGCCACAACAACAACGACAACGACAATAACAACTGTACTATTTAATAATCAAATACAAGTCCAACCAACGATTGAAACTATTGCCTCGGATCAAAAACCAAAAAAATCTAGAAACTCTTATGTTTCATTGTCTAATCATGATATGAATAAAGCAGAAGATTTATTAAGGTTAAATTATCCGAAAAATTAAAATTAAAACAACGAAGTATTTTTTTCTTGTTTTTTTTTAGGTTTACACCACCACCTGATCAACAACCATCACTAACGTCTAATTCAACAAATAAATATCCTACATCTAATGAACTTCCAGCTAAATTACAACAAATGGATGGACCTAGTGGACCTATAAGAAAATCAACGAAAGCAAAATGGTAATTTTCATCTCATTGAAATTTATTTTTCTTTTTATGTTGAAATGTTCGTGTTCTCTGCTCATTGTCGTTTCAAATATTGCCGAGTGATTGCTGATTTCCATGTACCGGTTTTTTTTTTGTTTCTGAGACTCAGTCACATATATGCAGTGCATGTATTTATTTTTTTTCGTTTTCGTATTCATTTGTCAAAGAAAAGAAAAAGTCGGAAATAAAATATAAGATTTATTTTCTCTAAAAATGTTTTACCACTAGGAAAACGTTTTTGGTGAATGGCGTGGCCTCGCCTAACGGCAACTGAAAGAAATATTTTTTCTCATACTTATGACGCTATTATATTTCATAAATGCATTTTACTAAGTCAATGAATGTGATCTTGTTTAGATATCATTCCGTTGTGTCAAAAAAACACGATGGGTAAAATTTTTATCTATTTCCATACAAAAAAAGAAATTAAGTGTTTTTATTAACAAAAAAAAAAGATGACATGTTACCCTTTTAATCAAATGTATATGAAACTTAGTTTTTAAATCTGAGTCAGTTATGTTCTAGTCTATTTTAATATCTTTTTCTGAGAAGAAAAATTACTGCTGAATAACCTATTAGTATTAGGTCGCTTTTCATTCGACATACGGTAGTATTAGTATGTTTTAAAACAGAACCACAAAATTACAAATGCACAATTGTATATATGTATATTTGTTCTTTTTTTTTCTTTTACCTTTGCTTATAATATATTATTATGGAAGAAGAAACAAGACGATCAACTGGACAAGCAAGGCTATAGTTCATTTCGCCCCATACCAGTATTATAGAAGAGACGAAAGAAAAAATATATTTAAGATTGTGAACAAGTAAAATTTCAATGGGTAATTGCCCATTTGCGAACCCCTGGTTACACCCCTGAACGAATGGTATCATAAAAAGAGCAAGTCATCTACATATCAGTCGTATGTATTTAAAAAAATGTAAATCTTTGATTATTCACAATGCCTGTCAAAATCATCCGAAAAAAACATCATTTTATTGATGATATAATCATAGCTTACAATTTTTCATCCTTAGAAAATCATGTACCATTTATTTCTGCATTCTTTTATCCATACCAGAAATTTGCATAAAAACAAAGACAAAAGATACTTTTGTCATATGATATTTAGCTAATTTTTATCATTCAATAGGGCATGAAAGAAACGCAAGGCAAAATGTGTTTCGATGTATCCAACGATCAAAGATATATCTTCTCTCGTAGTTTCTCATTCACGCATTCAAAGAGTTATAGAAAATCGTATTAACAATGTTGATTTCTAAAGTTAGTCAGAATCTAAGCGACACACTCGCTTATATGGTTCGTCTAGAAAAGATGCATAAAATGAAACTTAACATAGTGTGTTATTGTTGCACATACAGTTCACGTAAATTGAAAATATATTCTTTGAGTTTTTGTGTTTTAATTGCCATAACTTGTTTGTTTTTAAACTTATTATGGGTGTGGGTGAGAGTGTAGATATGAATTAAAAGAATGCCGACAGCCACACCAACGCCCCATCCATCATAAGTCTTCTCTTCATCTACAACCATACCCCTTCGTGAATTCCTTGTGGAATTTCTTGTTTTTCTATATCCTTAATTAAACATACTTACAATTCTGTCATTCATTTTTCGTCTCAGTTAATCAATACCATTTTCAACAAAATTTTCTTCTTCTCGACGAGAAAGAATATCTTGTGAGATTGATTCAAGATATTTTACAATTGTTACTCTTTATTTATTAAGTGAAAATTATTTTGACGTTGTTGTACTCGAGTATGTAATATTGATGTATCGTTTGATATAATGGATATTCCATTATAAAATTGAGAATATTTCATTTTTATTTGTTCATCATTATTGATTTTTATGAATTGTAGATGTTGAAGAATTCTTAGTAAAATCATTTGATGCTTTTCAGATACATGTTGTTCCTTTATTTTGTTTCGATCAACCTAAAACTGTTTTTTTTTTATATTATTCAATAGAATCATCATTAATTATATGGAGGTTTACTTGTTCAGTATACAATGAACAAGTGAGACATTGATCGATATGGTTTTGATCAAGACGAGTCGTTGAATACAACATAGATTATCTTCGATCATATGAAGCAAGTAATCAATGGTCTCTACTTGATATATGTTTAGTGATCCAGTTCAATCGCAAACTGGACAACATATTGGTACACATTCTAACTCAGCTTGAAAAGCTTCGTGAAACCGAACCTGAAGAACACAACAAGAAAAAGATATAATATATGAAAGATTTATAATTTTGATAGTAGAATAAAAAGAAAAATACGAGTATTTGCCTATTTTGCAGATCTATGCAAGCTTGACATAGATGATGACCACAGCGAAGTTGATAAGGATCTCGAACAACTGATCGACAGACTTGACACATATAATGTTGACCAATATCATCAGTACTTTTCGCAAAAAATCTCTTTTTTCGATAACGGAAAAATCTTTTGTAGTATTGTAGAAGGATGACTATCTAATGTTAACTGTTGTAATGAGCTAATTTCTCCCGTGGATGAATGTTGAATATTTAAATTTGTTGCGTGATCATTAATCTTCAAGATTAGTTTTAGAAAAACACAGACTAACACGCTTCCCAGAGAGATTTATGCAGATAGACAATATTGTGAAAGATGCCGCTTCAGGGATATCTTCATGAATGAATCTTCAAAGGCTCGTCTGATAGGTAAAAATGCATTAGCAATAAAAGCATTAATAATGCATGGCATATACATCCTAAACTTTCAATGATATTATCCACCCAGACAAACACAGTTGATTTTCGATGACTATTTGTATTAGCGAAAAATATGTTGACATAGTGTGTGATAAAATACACGTAGCACGAATTAGTTAAAGAACGAATACTAGATGCTTTTATGCTTGAAGAAAAATAGGCTTTTATTGAAATATTACTCAATAAAAGAAGCAAAAACTTAAAAAATATCCGTTTGATATGAGCGAAAGTCTAAAATTTGTTTCAAAGTTAATCATCGTTAGACTCAAACGCAAACATTAAATTCAGTGAAAAGATCCTATGAACTTAAGTGTAGATGTAAGGGAAGAGAGCATCGTCATCCACCAACTCACGCACCCACATTCAACCCGCAAAACATGCTTCATAAACAAATATTTTTTGGTTTTAATTTAATTTTCTAGGTCTTACACTTAGCAGTCTATGAAAAAGACAACGGAATTAGCTTACTTTTAGTAGACCTACCACATTTATATATGAACTATTACCAGAGAGAAGAGAACGAAATTGCTTAGCTCATTTTACTGACTTCCTTTTCCCGTACATTTGTTATGTTTGACTAAAGCAGTGTCCGAAACATCTAAACACATGTTAAGGTCTGTTAGGAAGACATAAAAATTAGAAATTGTTTAAAAATCAAATCAATAAATGCAAAAACTATCTGTTTGCTATGCTATCCATACATGAATCATTTGAACAAATGAAAGAATAATTTTGATAAGAGATATCACTACACCTCTCCAGCATTTCTCTGTAAAGACAAGCAGTAAAACAAAAATGAATAAGAGAAAGAACACGACACTCACAATATATAAAAATTCCCAGTGACGAAAATGTGAAGAAAGAAAAAGAATCAAGTATTTTTCTTTATGACACTCGGGTAACTACGAAATAATGTGTATATCGGCTCGTTATCATTCAGAACAAAAGACTGAATGCAAATACTTTATCTCAACCAGTTTCACTTTTTCATGTATTTGCAAAACGATATGGATTTTCTTTCTTTCTCTGTTGTAGGTTACAAAAATTTCGATTACTCATCATTTTTGTTTCTTAACTCATAACTCATTCATTGTTTTGTTTTGATTCATCTATTTGTGATTTTGAAAAAAAGGAAAAGAACTAGGGTATAGGTGTGAGATGTGTGGGGTATTTTTGGACATGGATATTATTGTAGATGTATGAAGATGTGAGTGTGAGTGTGAGCATGGAGAATTAACAACCTAATCCACCCCCACTCCTACATCCCCACACCACATTCACACCCACACCCACACTCACATCCCACACACGCGTTTCGCATGCACATTTCAACAGATAAAAGAGGATAAAATCATTATTGAAACCAGATATAGAATTGACCGAAAAAAATGAAAACTCATATTCAAAAAGAATAATTGGGTTCTGTTCTTCTACTTGAAATGAACTGAAACCAGTGATCCTTGAGCCAACGATGATCTATGGTGATAGTGACAGGACTTAAGTGATTCTATTGAGCAATTGAATAGTCTTGGTGGCTAGTTGTATTCGGTGTCTGATCCTCAAGATTGTTCGCGATACTTTCTAAGTGTGTAAATAACCGATTTTCATCCATTTTTGTAAAGAAATTGGCGATTTTCTTTTTCAATTCTTGATAATGTTCAAAATTTGTTATATTCCGACACAATCGTTCGAGACTGGATAGAAAATTCTGTGTATTTCCGTTAAATAAATATTCCAACGTTTTCATTAAGTAAAATAAAGGTGTAGTTTCGTCGTTATAGTTTGTAAGCAATTCCAAAACTTGATTTTTAAATGAAAACGTCGATTCTTCCGATGTAGTAATACTTCGGCGAAGAAGTCGTAATAAAGTTTCGAGAAATAGAAGAATGGATTTCGCTGATGGAACATTACAGAATTTTGATTTGAATTCTTCGAAAGTACTATCGATTTGTTTATGATGAATGACTTTGGCTAGATTCATATAGAGGTGATCAGAAGAAAAATATCTTGATAGGAAATGTTGAATCCAATCGTTGAAATTGATTGCAATCAATCTTGTCAATATGGAAGCGACTGTGGCAATTTGATTTTGTTGAAAGAAACAATCAAATAAATCCGAAACAGATGAACAATCGGCATTGATCTGATAATACCAGAATTTAATATTCATAAATATACTTTGTATTAGACAATCAAATGCCAATTCGAATTCATTTTGTGTGAGAGAAAATTGAAACAGAATTATTTGTAATGTGGTAATTATTTGAAAATGTTTTGGATTTTCATCATCATATTTCGAATATTGTTCAATAAAATAATCTCGATATTGATCATGTGCATTCTTATTCATTTTCATCATTTTCCGATAAATATTCCACAACTGTTCCGATTCAGTTTCTTTAATCTTTTCCAAAGCTTTCACATAGTAATATTCTGCTCGTGTCAAATCACCACGATAACGATAATGATCACCCATAGAAATCAATTTCTCACTCGTGCATGTTTCTTCAACGATGCATTCAGAAACTGAATTTCCATTGGAGAGTATCTGCCAAAGATGTTGTTGACTATTTTTGAATATAATACGAATGAATTTACGACCATTATCTTCACCCATTTGTTCGAATAAGGACTTAAAGTGTGGCATTGCTTCGACTAAATTCGGAAACTCTCTGCTGATTTCACTTGGCAATGGATATTGACCCGCTTGCTTACAATAAAATTCTGCTTCAGCCATATGACCAGATTGAATTGCAGCAATTGCTAAGAGAGTATAGATAATAGCAAGAAAGTTTTTATTATCGACAAAATATGGATTTTTCAGTGATTTCATCCAGCATTCGATGGCTTCAGAATGTTTGTCATTTTGCATTAGATAATACCCATACATCAGATTTAAACTAGCAAACATTCGATGGGTTGATGGATAGTAAGATTCGATGTAGTTCATTGCTTTTTCCATCACATCTAACGCTTTAGACATATTGTTCAATTTAAAATATGCCGAGGCCGTTTGAATATAAATCATTCCATTGAAAATAGTTTCCATCGACGATGGGATATGAGAGACTATTTCTAATGCTTCCTCCCAACAATTGAGTGCATCAATAGTGTTTTGTTGTTGCAAACAAATATAACCTAAAGCGGATAGACGTAATTTTTCTTGAATTTCACTATCAGTATGTTCTTGATTGATCAATGGCTTTAACCTATTCACTGTTTGATTGGCATTATGTGATTCTGGATGAGAAGAAACAATAAACGTGGCAAGCCATGGTGGCATCGATGATTGAAACAATTCGAAAGCATAATCAAACGATTCCATTGCCATTGCTTTTTTATTTGCCAATTCATAATTAAATCCTAACATCATATGTATAAATGCTTTGAATTTATCATTAATCCAATCATATTTAGAGAGCGTTTGAAAATATCGAATGCTTTTATCAAAGTCATTTGTGAAAGATAAAAATCCACCAAGGCGAAGTAACGATGTTAGATCTTTATCGTCAGATGACAACTGTTCATGAAGATTTTCCCTTTTGGAAGAAAGAAAATTGTTAAGCATATCGAATAGAAGACAGATAGATGTTTCATTCGGACGAACATCATCTGTATCGGTTTTCATCACCAGCTCGTGTAAAACAGGCTCTTTATCGATCAATTCTTTCATACAACCTTGTTTTTCATAAGTACTGATAATAAACAATTGTATTAGATCTGTAAGAAAGAATTTCATCAGTTCTGTGAATGGTCGAGCATGCCTTTGGGAAGTATTAGTGAAAAGTTGTTTGAATTGAATAAAGGAAATTTGTTTACCACATACTTGATAGAGATAAGATTGAACTTCATCCATCAATTTTTGCACATTTTTATCTTCGTCAAAGCTGGATAATTCCAACTTGACAATTATATGTTGTATCTGATCTTCAACAGAGATAACCTTAAATATCGATGACATACCAAAAAGAACTTCATCTTCGCCTTCAAACTGACTAAATTGACGAATATGAGCAAATGGTGGATAGTGTTTGTTATTTTTGATATCATTAACTGTAATTTCGAAAATTACAGATGTATTTTTATTACCACCGGAAACATACATATTGGCGACCTCACGATTAGTACTAGTGGATAAAAATGTATTCATCGATATAAGATGACCAACATTCGCACAAATTTTTTCGATGTCATCTCTCCCCCATGTTGTTTGTCCACGATAAACAGTCAGAGGTAGTAGTGTTCCATCATTTATTTGTTGACAATGTAATTGTTTCAATTGAGCATCGAGATCTTTGACAAATGAATGAAATTCGATTATTGCATCACTATCCAACATTCGACAAGCTTTATTAAATGCCCGATAAACAAATGAATCACGCGAATACCACTGGATAGCTGTATCAGGTGTATATGTTTCTTGAAATATACTGATGTCATTTGGAATCAATTGAATAGAATTTTCTCCATCATAGTCATTGACTAGATGACAACCTCGAATAACATCTTGTGTAGGCGTGGGAGAACGAGGAGTGTCAAGAAGTACCTGGAGCATGAATTGATGCCACAAAAATGCTTTATTATCTTCATTCAGATCGCGTACAGAGTTTTGTATGGAATTGGTACTGAATAGAGTGAATGGTATATCAGTCGAGAAATGGAGATTTGATGTAGTCATCATCGTCGACATCTTCTCGGGTTTTAATATCTTATATATATTCTCGTCGAAAAAAGAAACTTCAGTGGGCGTTTTTTTCTTTTTCTTCATTTTGACGTATGACGAGAGATAAGAACTATAAAAAAATTTTTCTTCGAAAAGATTATTTGTCTTCCTAGTTATATCAGAGAATGACGAACATACAGCGTATCTGAGCGAAGGGTGTGGATGTGAGTGTGGGTGGATGTGGGTGTGGGTGTGGGTGAAGATATTTGATGCAAGGGCCATCCACACCCCACACCCACATCTACACCCACAGCCACCCCACCCTTCAGCATTTACTGAAATTGGATGCCATAGTTTCCCCCTTAATTAATACACTTACTGCCTCAGCCTTTTTGTTGCTTATTTCTTTCTTTTCTCGTGACTTTTTATCAACAAACTCCGATGTCGCCACATAATATGTGCGTGTGTCACTATTAGTATCCGCACTGTAGAGAAAGGTATGTATGCAGTTTCTTTTTCTCTTTTCTTCATCGTCGATAATGCAATGAATGAAAATATGTTACCCGTCCGTGCTGACGTCCTGTTCGTTGCATTATCAATGACGAGAAAAAGAGAAAAAGCAAATGCATACATGCTTTTTCGTATGCAGTGTGGATAAGAACAGCGGCCCACATATATACTATATAGTGATGTCGGAGTTTGTTGATAAAAAGCTACGAGAAAAAAAGACATAAACAACAAAGAAACCGATACAGTAAGCGTATTAGTTCTTTTTTTGTTTTTTTTAATTATGTTGAATTTTATTCGTGATATCCATATATTTTTTTTTGTGCTTTTTTATACAATTTTTGCGGACGCTTACGAACATAGGAATCAACAGACAAGATAACGATAACAAACAGAGAAAGAATGCCAAGGAAGCGAAAACGAACAGAACGAAAATCGAAACCGAGGCAGTAATGACGAGGTCGGCGTGTATTGCTGTGCTTCCTTCGTTTATTCTTCTGATACCGTATATATTGACACCGAAGACACCGTACCGGGGGAAGGAATCGAACCTTCTGATGTCTGACTGATAATCAGATGCATAGAACCACTACGCCATCCCCGACAGCGTATTAATTCTTGTATTGTTCGTGTGAAAAACGTTCTGAAACTTCTCAGTATGAAAAATGATGAAAATCGAAAATTTCTACCGTAAACACCATCAAGTCTTTTCTCTTTTTGACCAACCAAAATCTCAAACGCTTCAACGTTGGTTCAGTGACGCTAAACCAGCTAGTGCATGCGTATTGTGACACTATTATCTGTTCGGGAGTAGTGCAAGAACAACGACTGGAAACGTGTTACATTCGATTTTAAGAGAACTTTCGCGGGAAACATCGACCATTGGGCTACAGAGCATTTCCGGGGTCATTCTTTCGTGTTTTTTTAATGATCTTAAAAAAGGTATATTCAAAAGTAAGGTTACCTTTCTAATTTCAGAGTTGAAAAGTGTTTCCCTGAATTTTGACAAATTTTTCAAAACGAATCCCAATAGAAACCCATTAAAATTTCGAAAATCGGTACTTGAATTTTGTTAGTTCTATTTCAAACCTCAGAAAATCACTATATAAAATTGCTGCTGACAAGACATCAAAAGCCATCCATATTACACACATTTCACCACAAAAACTGTGGCCTGCGCCTCGTTCTACGCATATAAAACCTACTATTCCAGCCTCATCTTTTCTTTCACTAGACCTGAACTTTTATCGTCGTGCCACGAGAACATCGAATAGTAAAGTTTTATTTCGTGATGAGTGTGATTATCCAAAATTTGATTCATACTGTCGATTATTATTTCGTAGTGGACAGTCCTCTTCGTACATGTTTATTAAAAATGATGACCAATTATCATATATTACTGTGAGTCACATGTGCTTAGGATGGAATCGAGTAGGTCATATTAGTCTACAACATGGAAGGTGAAACAAAATGAATGAAAATGGAACATTAACATAGATAATTGAACGACAATAGATACAACATGCAATGCTGTTTTCGTATTGTGTACGGGTCATCGATCATATATCGATATTTTTTCATCGAACATCCTCGAGCAATTGTGGTACAAAACCCATGAGATTTTCTATGTACTTGTTCTTGACGGAGAGATTTTGACTTCCAATCTGCCTGATCTAGCCTTCAACAACATGTTTTCAAGACCCTTCTGGACGATTCTTGATTTACAAGCTCATTGGGCGACTGTTATTTTCTCCGTCGTTCTATGTATGCCTTCTGTCAGTGAACAACAGATCACCATTTTTAAAAATCGTTTTTTTCGTGTTCGCCCCTCTTTCATACCGTGAAAATGCGTTTCTTAGAGTATAAAAACGAAAAAGACGCTTACACGAGAGTTTTCAGTGTGTGATAACATTGGAAAACGTTACCTTGTGAAAACTGCGTTTTTCGGCATTTTCGACCAAAAGTTTTTCACATCGTTTTAATGGTAGGCACAATCCGAGAACTAGCGTTTTCTATTTTAAAAAACGCGAACTATAGCACACAATTGCATTACTTCGTTGGTACTTGTTTTTCAACGTAATCCTGAAATTAAAAATTGCTTCGTATTTTTTTAAAATAGAAAATATTTGTTTCCAACATTCTTTTGACAAAAATTTTTTCATGAGATGTATTAAGATTTTTCCTCTTCTTCTATGAGCTAACTATCATTGCATGAGCTTTGCATCAAAGTTCCTGTTCTGTTTTAGTTAGTCATGATTCGAAAAATTAATAAAATAGAAAATGTTGGTCGATTTCGTTCATATGTGAGTTGCTATCCAGATGAAGTTGTCTTTAAGAAGCTAACCGTGATCTATGGCTCAAATGGTAGTGGTAAAACGACACTGGCAGCTATTTGCCATTCCATGACGAGCGGTGACCCTGGTGGAATAGTGAAACGTAATTCAGCTATTCAGTACTCACCCAATTCAACAACACTTGCTACAGCAGATACCTCAGATAAAATAGTCTCCGCATTACAATCTTCGCAATATATTGAAATTCTCGATTATAATGAAACTGTTTACAAATACGAAAAAGAGAAATGGAGTAAAACTTTTCCGAACATTCAAATATTTAACAGCCATTTTTGTAAAGAATTCTTTGCAAGTTTGAAGCCATCACTCAGCTTATGTAGTGGTGATCGATTTACTGCACTACGAAACGAAACTAAAACTGTTCTTCTTCAGAATTGGGATGCATTGGATAATAAGAGTGCCGAGGCGACATCGATCGAATTTAATGATGATGTTATTAAAAAGCGAAAGAAAAAAGTAGAAGGTGAGCCATCTATATAGCTAAAACTAGACCTGCTTCACTCATATCTAATAATGTTTCGATTGTTTCAGATTGCCTCAAGACAGAAGACACCATAGTAAATGAGTTTCTGCTAAAATATCAACAGCGTATCAACGGTTATTTGCAAAAGTTCTGTGCTGATTTTCAGCTGAAAAATCTTCGTATAAATCCTGTCAAGTTAACTGTCAGGCAAGCGATATTCGATCTTTAACTCTATTTTACTAATACTAGCAAAACTGAGTTTTACAGTTTCAAACTAACTCACTAGATGATGACTAACAGGTATTCAATGCTAAATGTATTTCGCTACACCCACAACTTTTTTTGTCTTTTCGAAGGCAAGCATTTTGAATATATTTCGAACGACTTTAAATACAGTTTCACTGAAGAAAGTAAAATAAGCAGAAACGATGTTTCTAGTGGAACACTGCGTCGTTTTTTGAGACTTTGCTAGGCATCTGACAGTAAAAAGGCTTCCACAATTGTATGTCTCAAAAGATTAGCGTTAAAAGAGTGCTAGCATGAACTGTTTATTCTATGTCGGCGATTCTCCAAGTATTTTGCTCCATATTAACATGCTTTTCTATTTTCTATCACTTTCAAGATCCGACATTCACCAAAATAGAACCATCACATATGATATAACTGGAAAACATCCTCTGGCAACATCAACACCAATTAATGCAGAGTTTCTCAGTGAAGGTGATCGTAGTGCCATTGCTCTAGCATTTTTTCTGACGAAACTTGATTATGCTATTGAGGACTCACCGAGTCCAGTGACAAGACCGACATTGGTATTTGATGATCCCGTTACAAGTTTTGATTCTCACAGACGAGATGTAACAATTGAAATTATTCGTGATCTATTATTTAAAGATGCTATCTTACAAGCTATTGTTCTCAGTCATGATGCACATATTTTGAATGACTTACTCATCAGTGTGAACAAGAAGCAGGAGAACAGTGATGTTAGAACTGTTACAACAGCTGAATTTGAAATAAAGATTAATGATATTGAAAAAACATCAAGTTTAGTGTAAGTAGACAGTTATTTCTTCTCAAAGAATATTGAGTACTGTACTTTTTCATTGCATCTTTGCGTCTTCTGCTTAGAGATAAAGATATAATGAAAATAGCTGGTGGGCGATACAGAGCTTGTGTATCTGCTGTCGAAGATTATCGACAAGAAGGGACGGACGACATCGGGGTGAAAGCAAACGTTCTAGTATGCATTCGTCAAATAATTGAATCGAACTTGAAAGATCGTTTCTCTGAATTGATTGAACGCAAAATACCAGTAATAAATAGCCGAATGGTTGGTAACATTATCGATGTGGTACAAAACGAAAACGGAGTCAAATCAATCGATGATGCTATTATGAAGAAAGAAGATTTGATTTCAGAATTACGAGAGATTAATCAGCTCGTATCATCAGCTGCTCACATCAAAGGAAGAAACGATGGAGCTAAAGAAAATTGTATGGATCAAGCAGAGAAAACAACCGTTAGAACATTACACAGACTAATTCAACAAATGTATGATATCATTAATAATAAACTACCGTTACTAGTCTATACAAAGAACAAAAAGCCAGACAAAAAACCGACTACAGCTTGCATAAGTACACAAACAGAACCTATTTAAAAAACCAACTGTTCCCATTATCCGAAATAACTTTCGAATGAACCAATCAAGTACAACTACGGTTTAATTGTCACCTCTAGCTGTATATGGAAAATCTTCAAATCTTTCAAAAAACACCATTCCAAATGCTTTCTTGTTTGTTTTCTCTTGTGATTGATTCTCTTTTTTTTGTATCTTCTCTGTTTCATTTCTTATGCTTGTGTATTCTCTTTTGCAATAAATTTTCAAGTTTCGCTTCACCTTTCGTTATATTGCTTCTTAGTTTGATTACTAGCGCTCTAGTAAAGATTGTCTCTTGTCTTTTCAATCGACAGAAAAGCAAAATAGCTTTCTCTTTTGATATCTTGTTTGTGATGCGGATGCGGGTGTGGTATGAGCCTTCTCTACATCGCACAGTAACACCCACACTCACATCCCACCCACCCTCACTTATCTTCTAAATGACAGTTATCAAGTTGAGAGCAATTTTATCACTATTCTCTCTTGTCTTCCTGTTCATCTCTTTTCAACATACTTTTCTTTTCAAGCATTTCACTCCGTCTCCGTCAATGAACACGTCAAGAAGCGGCAATAGAAAGAAAAAGAAATATTTCTCTTCACTGAAGATAAATGTTTTATGACAGGCGTAACAGAATTCGAAACAACTCATGTGAATTCATTCTCAGTTTGTAATGTTCTCACACAACATGTTTGCAAGTATTCGTAAGGTCACAGGCTAAGCCATATGAACTGACTCGTCAATGAATCAGTCTGATATTGCAAACAAAGAATGATGAAGAAAAGTCATTGTAGATGTACGAATCCATGTCTATTGAATAGAGAGACGAGCTACAAGTTTTGAAATGTATCGATGTTGGTATCGATCCATAATCTCGATTGCCAGTAGTTGACCAATAGGGTTGCATTGATTTATATTGTTGACGTTCTATATAGAAGCATAACCATTCACCAACAACAAATGCATTACATTCTGAACAACGTCCATCTATTTCAGTGACACTATTTCACCATCGAGAAGAATGATCTCCATTTTGACTTCCTGTGTCATAACCTTTCGTTGCCACTTCTTGTCCCGAACATCGAAATTCAATGAGATTTTGCCAGATGGGATTGCTTTGTGTATTAGATTTGACTTTAGAATGTTTATGTAAGGTAACATGAAATCGATTAATTTTTTCAATTCTCAAACACATATTCATGATACATTTTGGTAAAGGGTTGCATGCTCTCTCTCAGGGTTAAGTAAAATAACTTTGTTCTGTAAGCCTCTTCTTCGAAATCTATAGACTTTGATCTTGGCCCGATTGTTTGTCCCACGCAATCATTGTGTATGAATAATATCATCGAGTAGAAAAAATGATGGTGACTTTTCCCAAGCGTCTGTAGTTTTTCAACAGTATATTTGCAGGTACTAAAAGAGATAGAAGAAGAGCTCACTTTTTTGTTTATTTTTCTCATTTCATTTGTAAGGTTTCATTCTGTATTTAACTCGTGTATTCGATTTTCGTTTGAAACGCACTACTTTTTGATTCTTGTATCGTCATTGACGGTGTCTACGTCTAAATTAATAATCTTCATTTTAGTTGAAATTATGTCTATCACCTCTTCACGACTGAAAAAGCGAGAAATACTTCCAGACATCCGGGAAAATATTATGGCGACCTTCAGTAATGCGACGGGTTGAAATATTTTCCGGATCTATGAGATCTCTTCATTCTGCAAAATTTCAGTTCCAAAACATAAAATACCAGGTTAAAAGTCTTATCGAACACATAGATTTTAAAATGTATATTATGACTACAAGCAATGCCTTTCAAGGGAACAAGTATTTGCTTATTTCACTACGTAACAATGAAGCATTTCGAACAATTTACAATCCAGTAGATATAGGCTCGACTAAAATTCGATTACAGAAATTATCAAGTAAATGTTTCGTTTTTAAATAAATCTACCTTCGACATCGACATCTACCACGAGAGTGTGGGTGGGTGTGGCTGTGGCTGTGACTGTAGATGCTTACCGACACCCACACCAACACCCACACCCACACACCCACACACCCACATCCACCCACACACCCACCCACACCCACACCCATAGCCACACGCACACGCACACCCACACCCACACTCACACTCACACTCACACCCATACGCACACACCCACACCCTTACTATTTTGTCTCGTTTCTTTTGACTATAAAACAATGATTGATAGTTATCGAATTAAGTTTAACTCATGAAAGCCAAATATATATTCTGTTTCTATTAAAAAGAAGCAGATTGTATATGACTATAACGATGTTAATTTATTAAATGTCATTGAGAGAGAAAAAGAAAGAAACTGTGGCATTTTATTTCATTAGTTTATTGATAAGAGAAGAAGGGTAAAGTTCGAAGCATTGGCTAATGAATTATAACTGGATATATTTGAACTTTTCAAATCTGTTGATCTTTTTCTTGTCTTCTATGGCTCGAATAGTTTCATTATTTAAAATCATTTTCATCACATCAGATCAACTTCATTTCAATATCATTATCTTCTTTATTTATTTGCGTCTACCGAAACTTCCATAACTAAACTTAGATGTTTTTTTTCTATGATGCACGTAGATGGACTGATAGCAAAGTCATTTCCTCATCAAATGTGTATTCATCAATTAACACACATAGTTGGGACTTAATTGACTGATGTCATCTGTTTGAATGTACACCTTATCTTTATTTTTTGTTTTGGATTTAGTTTATTGTGCCATGAGTTAAGGTTCACAAGTGAAAGAAGAAAAGTGTATGTAAGGGATATGAGGAGAGATAGAAATAAAGAATGTAAAAGGATAACATACGTTTACTTTTCAAATCTTCTTATATATATAATAGGTAAAAGAAAGTGAGGATAGAGAGAAACGCGAAGAGACAATAAAACGAAGACCGTCAGTCACTAGTGACATCGCTCGAGTGTTCGGTTATTTATGATTGAAAGCTAATCATTGTTTTAAATGTATAACTTAGACTAATCGCTTCAGTTCGATGTGATTCATTAGTATAAGAAATAGGATGAGAAAGATAGATTAGAATAAAATAATCAGTTTTGTTCTATTTTATTTTAGATGAGGATCGAATATTTAAAATAAAAGATTGTTTCTGCTTCAATTAGTGCATTTATTTATTTATATTGTTGTTATTGAACAGAGGTTACGGTGGATAGATAAAGTATTTATATATGAACATATTCAGATATAGAGTATTTCTTTTATAGTATTTAAATTGGTTCTTATGCGTCCCATGGTGCCACACTAGCTTTTATCCAAAGATGTTGTAATTTTATACGCCTGCCAAGGTTGTTGGAACAAAATTGCATCAGATACTGTTCCGAGATGTGTACTGAGATGATTCCAGTATGAGTAGATATAGTCTCTCAAGCTTTTTTCTCTACTTAGTATCATCGTAAATATATCATCTCATCTTTTTAGAGAATGAACGATTCACAGTCTTAAGCAAAATACATGTTCGAATGTTCTCTTGTGAATTTTCGTAAAGAAGAACTATGAGCAAAACAGCCAGCAAAAATGTACTAAGGCATAGGAAAGAAAGGTCTTTCGACCGATAGAGATAAGATCAAGAGGTATTGTAGGAAAAATGATTCTAAGTCCTTCATAGATTTTCCAAATTTTCCTTATTCTTTCTTGATTGTATGTACTGCAACGAAGTTTTATTGATATATAATGTTATTTTGTCCCTTTTTTTTGTAATCACATTTCAACCAAACGAAGACAATTTCTGAAATGTCATTTAAAACTCGCAAGTTGAAGTAATTAGTAATAGTCAAATTTCTACAAATAAAAACGTCTAAATCTTGCTTAGTTCTAACATGTTGAATATATGAAAGAGGCAAAAAGATGAAAAAAAAATTTCACGCCACAGTTTACTGGTGCGCTTCTTTTTTTTGAATAATATAAATAACATCGACAACATTGAAATCAATTTTCTTTTCTTTGTACGCAATATTTTTCCTTATCATATAATCTTTTGTATACTTCGAAGTATAGAACTGCTATTTTGATTTGCATTTTGTATACAGCAGTTATTGTTGTTTTATTCAGAGTCCTTCAAATTTGTCTACGGAAAAGTGATTTCATAACGCAAAGTGAGTAAGAATTGCGCATGAATCATTTAGAAGAAAAATCTGATTTTCAGCTGGAAAATTCCACCATGCACACACAGAACGCGACAAAATATTTCTTTCTCTGTTGCGCATATACATGACTCATCGTGAACGCATGTTTGCCTTTTACCACTAACTTGCGTTCTTTTCACAATGAAAGTGTCCAAATAGAAAAAAAAAGTTGCTCGCATTCTGTATTGATTGATTTACATGCAAGGACGATAATAACAACAAAATGGCTCTCGAATCAGGATATATAATTATTTGGCTTGATGCTCATATTGGCTCAAAAGATAACTGTCGGCAAATGAAGACAGAGTTCAAGGTTGGTCTTGAAGAAATAGCAGCTGTTCCACAGATGCCACATGATCCAATTGATGATCTTATTTGCGCCATATGCGAACACAGTGCTCCAATATTGTTTACTGATTCACAAGAAGAAGCATTAAAACTCATTGAAAACAATATGAGTTCCAGGAAAGTTATATTCATCTCGTCAGCAACGTTGGGCAGACAAATCGTCCCTCAAATTATTGAAAAAGAATTACAACTTGAATCATATTATGTTTTCTGTGGAAATATGGAAGCTCATCGTGATTGGGGTATCGAATGTATTAATGATGGCTTGAATATTCAAATGTTCGATCATGAAACAACTCTGTTGATAAGACTCTGCCGAGATATGAGCAACATATTAAAAGAAGATGGAAAAGTTCTGTTAAATGCAAACAAGCCTGAACCTGCTTTGAAATACTTTGAGTTTGCTTTGGCACTTGCAGACACGGCCGGCAAGTATGATACTCTTACAGGTCCTAATGATACGCATCGTCCATCTACCGAATATCGACCCATATTACTTTCTCTAATAGAGAAAGCTAGGCGAGCGATGAAATAAGACTTTATTACTATTTGTTATTTATGTCAATTATTGACTGATATTCTCTTATTTTGTTCGAACATTATTCTTTTCATATCTGTATTCTATTTTCTAAAAACATTGAATTCTCAACAGAAAATTCTTGGACAATGCTGGCGCAGGATTTCTCTTCAATGACACGACTATCATTTTTCTACTTACCGATAGAGGTTGGCTGCAGGTTTTAGATGAAGGTTATCTGATTGTATTTCATATGGAGTTTTCGATTGGAAATTAAAATCTATCTTATATATATAAAGAAGAATGTTTGTCTGTCTGTCTGTCTGTTTGTTTGTCTGTTCATTATGCATTTCCACAGGGCACAAGCAAATGCAACCAAACTTTGCATGGTATACCCTTTCGTCCAGGGAAAGGTCACGACAGGGTCCCCCCCCCCGTGGGTGTGTGGGTGAAATTTCACCCAGGTTATGATACATTGCACATTTTACCGATTGTTGAAAAATGTTGGAGAGTTTTCTTCGACTTTTAGAAAGGCCACATCCTACTATTACCATACCTTTTTCTCACGCTTGGTGTGAATTTATATCTTTCTATATATATAAAGAAGAAGAATGTTTGTCTGTCTGTTCGTTATGCATTTCAACACGATACGAGGAATTCGGCCAAAACCTTTTCAAAGGCTTTCCTTTCATCCAGAGGGAGGTCGAAGTCTACTTTTTGTCGAAAAAATACCGATCCTCCCCCAACAACGAACCTGCCTATGTATCTTACCAATCAGATTGCAGCATTTGGTAGTATCGGAGTACTACTGAACAGCACATGGTGAGCAAGCACAAGACATGTACCTAGAGATTTTCGAGGTGGTTCAGCTTGAATCTGCGGTCTGTTTGCCTCGAAATCTGATTAGTTCGCCAAAAACCAATAGGAATTCAGCTGCAAAGAAAGCAGACAAAAACATCTTCACTTTCGGGAAAACGATGCAAGAGAGGTTTTTAGAGGCGGTAAGATCGAATCTTGGGTCCATTAGTCTCGAAATTTGATTGGTTGGTCGAAAACCAATGAGAATTCAGCTACTACGAAACCTGCTAATTAAACTTGCGTTTTCGGGAAAAAAGTCAGACAGGGGCTTTCAGAGGCGGTGAGTTCGAATTAGGGGTCCTATCACCTCAAAATCTTATTGGTTAGCCCGAAACCAATAGGAACCGAGTTTTTGGGAAAACGAATACCATTGGATGATGGGAGCAAGGACATTAGGAATCGGAAGTCTATTGAACTCGAGGGTGTGACTGTGGGTGTGGGTGTGGGTGTGGGGTGTGGGTGTGGGGTGTGGGTGTGGGTTCATTTTATATCAAGCAGCATCTACACCCACACTCACACCTCACACCCTCAAGAAGCAAAAAAAAAATCTTTCTCTTAATGAAAATTCCTATTTCACGATACAGTTATATTATAGTCAAGAAAAAAACTCGTATCTAGAGTTCTGCATTATACTCGGAAAGCCGACGTCACCGATGGAGTCAGAGTCAACGTTATTTATTTATCATTGGCCATTTCAAATATTAGAAAGTTCGATGTTGGTTTTAAAATGTAGTCAAGATATGGCGCTGCAACTTAACAGGATCAGATATGTCGATTTTAGCTTATGTTTTTAGAAAATTCCTCTGATGAAATATGAAAAATCCAAGGAATGCACGTCCGGAACAGTTAGTTTTTTATAAACATTAATGGAGAAATCGAAAAATTCGCCTCTATTAAGTTGTAGAGCTAATTTTTGCCTTCATTTTGACACTAGGCCCAGCTTTCTTACATTTAAAATAGCGAAGAAATCTGGGACGCATGGAAACTTTAAAAAAACCAAAAGTTTCTAGAACAAAAACGTTAGTGGAAGGTTCAGAAAAACCTATGTTATATCCTTAGATCTCATCATAAAATCAATAAATTATAGTGCATTCGAAAGTAAATATTTTGCTCTATCTAACGAGCTAGAAATCACAAAATTGACTTTTTTGGGGTGAGTCCCCTTAAAAGGCTAGAAGAGAATTACAATTAGAAGGTATCGAAAAATGCATCAAGGTGAGATAATAGTGTCTTCTAGCTGGATTAATTGATTTTATGAACCTTGATAAAATTTTTACATGCATGTGCTAGGTTTTCCTCCTCTCAGGAGTGATTGAATGAAAGTTTGTTTTTTTTCCACATAGCGTGCATGTGTTTTGTTGATAATGATTTTATTTATTTTATAACAAACAATTAATTCTTGTTCATGTTGTTCAATATTTTTAAATCAGTTTACTAGGCTCTTCACATCAGAGCTGGAACCGATCTTATGGCCGGGCGGTTGAAAAAATTTTCTAGATCGGCAAGTAATCAGCTGGATTGGTTCCAACTCTGCTGCACATACTTCTCGTTCAGTGTAGGGAAGTGAAAATTTTTCATTAAGATCCATAGTAGAGCATTCAAAGATATGATTTATTATTCGTCGGCATCGTCTGTAAAATGGATTGGTTCTCTTTCTCAATGAATTTGAGAGAAGAGAATAAATCTTAGTCATAGATATAATTTATATTCAATTTTAAATGATTAACAATATGTGTGAATACAACAAATTGAATTCTTTTTGCTATTAACCCAGATTGTTGATTCCGGGGTATACGATGACTTTTCGGCGTGTTTTCTGCAGAATCAATCTGTCGAAAAAAATTGAGAATATGGAAGCAGTATTCAGAGCCGGAAAATCATCGTACGAGAAACAATGGTTTTCCTACGATAACTTGAAATCGGAAATGCATAGGAACTTATTGTATTTACCCGTACGCTGCAGAATAATAATGTATGACAGTAGTCATCATAATCTAATACCAAAAATGATCATTTAAGATTGAATATGTCGGTCTCAAAATCTGCAACGGGATATTCAAGACTTTTCCTTTTCACTTTTCTATACGTGAGTCGACTAAATTTGAGTTCCTGATTAGGCAAAATTGTCTTTTGACTTTCAAATTCAAAAGTGAAAAGATGTTGTTTTTTTGCAAAAAAAAATCATTGCTATTCCAGTTACCAAGCGGCTAACATTTTTCTTCGTGCTATCTAAAGTATTCCTGCTATAGAGAGACACGATCGATGCGTTTGTCAAGTATAATATGTTCCATTTTTATTAGTACGAAAAAAAAATATCATGTAGTTTGTCTTTCATAGAAAGTAACGAGACTGAATCAAAAGAATGGTTCATTTACAATTGTGCATTCTATATTGGTTTGTTTGGCCAATTGCCAAATACAACATATTGCTTCAATTTGTTCGATCTTGTCAAATCTAAGTATGAGACAAATTTATTTTGGTCAATATGTCAAATTCAAATAACACACTTGACAATAATTCTTGTTTGATATTGATCTATTGATTCTGTAGTTTGAGTACTAGTAGCTCCAAGAGATGCTAAAGAGAGTTTTAGTTGACTTTCTGTTACTGAATCTAAAATAAGACAATAAAAAAGAAAATGATTGTCATTCGAATGATCACCTGAAGATTTCAATATAAATGAGAGTGTCTTTGAGTTCAATTGTACGAGTTCTTCGATTGATTCAACATCACAATATTCACTACTATCCTAAACAAATAAACAAAGGCATTTATAAGTTTCACAATGGTTTTTGACCAAACAACGGGATATATGTAGGCTTGTAAAGGAAGACTTTCTCTATTAGATGATATAGATATTATCGAATTTTATCGCATACTGTAAATATGTCAATAGATGGCGCCACCTTTGCTGTGTTTTGCAGGCCTGGAAATCGGCCCACCCTTTTATGGCCCGAACATTGCTTAGACCCGATGCAACTTTTATTCAGCCGGCCAGGCCCCGAAGAAAATTTCGTTTACAAAGATTTTTTTCTCAATGGAGAGCTATTGCACATTTTTCGTCTTTTAGAAAAGAGTGATGACCGGGATGGGGGCACAGGGGGCCGAAAAAGGGGGCCAGGACCAATCCTTACAATTAATATAGCCAATAACTTGATATTTTGTATAATTATGGTTCTCACTTGATGCTGATTATCTGTGCCTATTTAGCCTCTTCTACTCGTAAAGTTTCTGAAAAATAGGATTTTTACTACATTTTTCAACAAAATCCTGTACTCCCCCTCAGGTCACACTGAAAGTTGAATTTTTAGTTTTGGCTTGAAACTTTGCACAAATAATGCTTTCAATGAAACTAGTTCATTGTGAAAGCTGCAGCATTTTCCATTGCTTCTTTCGTGATATACTGACAAAAGCACAAAATTTGCTTTCTCACACAACAGAATTTTGAATATCCGTATCTCAAGACAGAAGCAACGAAAAGGGCTGAAACTTTCACAATGAACTAGTTCCACTGAAAGCATTATTTATGCAAAGTTTCAAGTCAAAAACTAAAAATTTAACTTTCAACGTGATCTGAGGGGAAGTACGGGGTTTTGTTGAAAAATTCAGTAAAAATTCGATATCATAAGAACGATGGCCTGGAAAGCCAAATCATTCTAGACGTTTTTTACCCTCGCCAGTTCTCATCGAATGAACATAGTCCAAAGTCAGAAATGACTTAGCACCTGAAGATATTTCCTCGCGAGTTATCGAGGTTTCCCTCTGAATAGTTTAAAGTTAAAAACTATCGATGGGTTATGTTTAGAACCGAACAACCGTTGTATTAGTTGAAAAATTCATGTATTTGAGTTTGTATTGTCTATTGAAAATGATTGGAAACCTAATCGATCTAAAAGATAAGTATTTGTTATACAAATCCTGCGGAACCGATCTGCATGACAAGTTATATTTGCGACGTCGTATCTCAGGAAGGGTATATGTGCGCATCTTTGCGCATCGACCTAAGATGGATGATGACAGGCTCTATAAAATAGTAAATTCAAATTCAAATTCAAATAAAAACCTCCGTCAAATCCCGCGAACGAATTGTATTATTCACTAATCGTTACTTTTTAGTACATTATGACCAGGTTTTTGGCCCTATTAGAACAGAAGGAACTTCAGATAGTCCGAAAGGCCTGTACTATATAGTAAACATATAAAGCTAAATAACTGCATAATATCTAATGGATATGATTAGATCTTTAATTAGAAACATAAGCTTTACTTCTAGGGCCCTATCACTGATATTCACCTATTTTACCTACTTTGTGGTAGCTGCTGCAAGACAACCACTAGCTTGCAATCAGAATCCAAGATGCAGTTAAATGCAGGACCATAGTAGCTCTAATGCTAGCTGCGATATAGGTTCAGATCTCACAAATCGATTTTGTCGCCTGGCTGCCCACTGTGGGGGGTAGCGCAGAAACTTTCCCCCTCTCTCCCCTCAGGAATGAGTCAAATGACAGAAAAAGAGAAAATCGTCGGGTCGGGCGGGCCGAGTCACCGGGTTGAGAGGCCCGTTTCAGGGCCTGGTGTTTTGCTATAGTTACGGCGAAGGTGGCACCACCTATCAACATCTCTATGCTACGCAATAGAACTTGATGATACCTAGAAGTCTTCCTTTACAAACGTACATATGTCTTGTTGTTTGGTTAAAACTTTATAATCGCTTTTATATATATATATATAACGATATATGCTGCAAATGCATAATCCTACATAAAATAAGTACCCTATCATTGGTTGCTAATGATCGTTCATCTTCAGAAGTTGACCTGGAATGTAAATCTAAACAAGGCAATGTGTTTCTTGATCTCTGATCGTTTTCAGAAAGTATTTTCGGTTCTTCAGTGTTATTGAAGAAATAATTAATAAGTTTGTATGGATATTCGTGCAATGAGTTGAATACATCGATAGATATCTTGAATAGATCGATAAATTTGGACGACATTGTTGACCAGAACAATCTGTTTTGAGAAACAGTTCGAAACCATTGAAACATTTTTTCTCGCCCAAGAGATTTAGCTATACCAAAGATAAGTTCGTTGATACCAGATGGAGATTTTGTAAGATCAAATTCTTCATCAATATACGTCTCACTATTGACCATCATACACAGAGTAACTCGATCAAAATATATAACACCATCTTCTTCTCGTGGTTCTATAGTTGGATGAACACTTTGAATAATTTCACATAATTCATTTACAAGTTCTCGACGATTTCGGCCAGCCCACATATTCGTACAGACAACAGCACTAAATATATTTTGACGATGACATTCCAACAGTAGCCACTTGACTTGTTCTAATTTAGCAAATGAACCTGGTGATGCACAATAAATCATACAAATCGGATGAGTATGTTCAATCAATGAAGTTATGTGACGACGTACATCAAGTTCGTGCCAAGATTCGATACCCGGTGTATCCCAAAAGATGGTTCTATAAGATGATTCCTCCTCCGAATATTCCATAGTATAACAATTCAAACTGGTCGTACACGATTGTAGACTGGCACTTGTCTTTGCTAGATTTTGCTGGCAGATTGCATTTATAAGAGTGCTTTTTCCTACACGTGCTGATCCACACAGAAGTATATTTGTCTCAGTGAGATTTTCGTTCATAATAAATTCTTATCTAGAAAATATTGATAAAAAATGAAAGAGAAAAAACTACCGATATTCAGTATGTATCAACTTATACGTCATACCAAACACAGTTATACACCCGTGGGCAAAAGTCTTTCCCCCGCCCCTTCTCTCTTTTTTTAAAAACTTTAATATTTGCTTTCTTTTTATTATTGAACTAACGTATAACATAAATACAGGCCTAAACAATAGTCCTTCTCCGTTCTCTTTCTTCTTATTTGCTGATTCGGATGACCCAATCTCAGGTAACAATTGTTAATGTATAAAATGTGGATCGATATTGAGAATTGTGTTTTCATCATTCTTTCGTAAAATTTAAAACAGGCTACTATCTCCATCATAACACCATGAGATTGTGTTTCTCAAGCTACGTTCTCTAGGTCCTAAAATATCAAATAAAGCTATTTCAAAGTATATTGGGTGTGAACAAAAAGCCGTACGGCATTGGCTTGCCAGATGGCAACAAAATGAAGACCTGTCGAATTTGCCAAAGACTGGACGACGTCGAAGACAACAGAAAAAAAGATTGTTAATATTGCCAAAAATGAGCTGAATGTTACATCAAACGACATTTCAGAAACTCTAAAAGAGGACGGTGTGGATATAGATCCAAGTACTGTTAGACGTCGATTACGTGAAAGTGAAGGAAATTATGGTCCGCCTTTAAAAGAAGTCTTTACTCATAGACAAACATCGTGAGCAACGACTCATCTGGGCTCGACAGCACCAAAATTTCAATTGAGACAATGTAATTTTTACCGATGAGAAGACTTTCAAACTTGGCAACGGCGGAAGAAAAGTGTGGCGGTTTCCAGGTGTCGCAAAAATTGTTCGTACAGTTAAATATCCTCTCAAGCTGCACGTCTGGAGGTGTGTTTCAAAACAAGATTTCGAACAATTAATTACTTTCAAACACAATTTGATAGGAGACTTTATGTGTGACATGTATGAGAATGGTCTTCTGTCTACTGCTCATCGTCAGTTTCCTGACGGTCCAACTAGCTGGATCCTTCAAGAAGACAATGATCCTAGATACAGATGCCATCTAGCAATTGACAATCGAATATAGGTTCTGTCTTGGCCCTCTTCATCACTAGATCAAAACTCAATTGAGAACGTTTGGTCGATGATGGAGAACATATTAAGTAAAAAAAAGTTCAAACAAGAAATAAGAAAGACATGGAAAGCATTCTCGAATGACTTGGCTGTCAAATTGATCGATAGCATGGAAAGACAAGTGCAGTGCTTAATTGAAGCCAATGGTGACTAGACATCATATTAAAATAAATTGTCTTTGTTATACTTTAGTTCATACTTTAGTTCGATAATAAAAAGAAAGCAAATATTGAAAATTTAAAAAAAAAAGGAGGAGGAGACGAAGACTTTTGCCCACGGATGTATATCACGTTCTATCATGAATCTACGAGCAATACCAGATTTCGATAAAAGGCTCTGGTATTCTTTCGAACTGATCATCACAATATTTCAGTGATTGTTGAAAATCAAAAACGCTTTTTTTCTGAAGCTCTTGAAAGATGATATTGATGTATCAACATCATCGCACAAGAGCACTATTCTAAAGAATTTCTTCCTATTGCATTCATGCTTACGCCAGCAATTAGCTATTGATCAGAGTAAAACAATATTGAAATAGAACAAGTGTCTATCTACTATTCAATTAGAGTGATGTGGATTTTATTCGAAGCTATGAGATATTCATTGAAATATGATTTGAGATATGTTTGCCTGAAAATCAATCTTACCCTTCTATATTCGAGTTTAATGCAAAAAGAATGAAATTATACTGAAAAGATAAATTCAAATTGTAGATAAGTGTTCATAATAGTTTATTGATGATTTTAGAGTTCATTAAGAGTTTTTGTTCAAAATGAACTCAATTAAAGTTGTTGCAATTATCTTACCAACTTGTTGGATACAAAACTTCATAGCCGGTCGATATTCTCGAAAGAATTCTTCCAGTTTTACCTTCATAGTCGTCCAAAAAGTATCATTTTCAGCGACAGTATAACACCATCCAACAAGTTTGTTGTCTTTCAACGAAGTCATCATGCCAAAAATAAGCTCATTAATACCTTCAATATCTTTCCTGATATCCAATTCTTGATCTTCATACACAATACTATTTACTGCTGTACATAAAGCTACATCAGTAAAATACTTGACATTTGATTCATCTTTTATCATAACATAACGTTCGTTGAAGAGCGATTGAAAATCTTCCATAACTTGTGCACGTTTCTGAGAACCTCCAGAATATTTGTTGGTACAGACAAGTGCACAGAAAATCTTGGATTGAATACATGTATCAACAAGCCATTTTAATTGTTCTAGTAGAAGAAATGAACCAGGCGACGCACAATAGATCATGCAAATTGGATTACTTTCATGCATAATATTGGTAAAATGTTGTCGAACATCATTTTCAGACCATGATTCAATACCGGGTGTGTCCCAAAAGGTAATGGAATATTGAATTGGCGGCGAAACTCCATCATTCGCTGGTTGTTCTCCTTTGTGTACATATTTCTCAAGTTTATCCGTGCATGACTTTAAGCTGTTACTTGTTTTAGCTACTTCTTTACCGCACAAAGCATTAATAAGAGTACTCTTACCAACGCGCGGTGAACCACAAACGATGATATTAAAATCTTTTGTCATGTATGTGAAAATCTTTATCTAGAAAACAAAACATCTTCAAGTATTTTTGTTTTGAAAATAAATAAATATTATTTTAGAAGAAAAATTTGATTGAAGAATGTGAACGCATAACTTAATATCTTCTATGATAGCTTTGACATTTGTTCATAATTAGTCTGTGTAGAAGTACATTTCATTTTCAAACGAGAAAAAAACTTATAATTTAGTAATTTTTTTATACCCACAGAGAAGAAACCGGTCGTTTTTTGACTGATTTTTTCCCAATAGCTACGTCGGTGAAGAACAGCATTACACCAACCAAGTAACTTCTGATCATCTAATGATTGCATGATACCATGAATGAGTTCATCAATTCCCTGTACTGGTCTTTTAATTGATGACATTTCCAAATCGAAATATTCGACTGAATTTACCATTGTACAAAGGGTACCATTGCCGAAAAACGATATTTTATGTTGAATTTTAGAATTAAATTGATCCGAATACATATCATTTTGTGTTCCGAATATTGAGAGTTCATTTTGAAATTCTTCAATTACTTTTTGTCGTCTATTACTAGACCACATATTAGTACACACAAGAGCACAAAATATATTTCGATCATTACAATTCTGTAGTACAGGACGAAGTTGTAATAAATCAGCAAATGAACCTGGAGAAGCACAATAAATGATACAAATTGGATTTGTCTTCTCGATCAATTCAAACATGCATTTTTGTCCTCCTTCATCAATCCATGATTCGAGACCGGGCGTATCATAAAAGTTAACCTGAGATGGAGTAATTTCAGACGCTTGCGTTTGATCACCTTCTAACACATATTTTTTTATTTCTTTTGTACATGAGGTTAAACTTGTACTTGTTTCAGCTAGTTTTTTGCCACCACATAATGTATTGATGAGTTCACTTTTACCGACACGTGGTGAACCAATAACAACAATGTTGAACTCAAGTAATTCTAGTGCATGATCTACCTCAGATTTAAAATAAATTTCAAGTAAATCCTTCTCAATTTTGTTAATTTTTGGCTTTAAAAGTTCAGTTGCATTGATTCCAATATGTTGATCGTTTACTTTTGTGCTCTCATCTTTATTTTGTCCACATTCAGTCAAAATTGTATCCTCGAAACGACAGACGAGTTGTTTGATATAACTATCAGTCATATCGTCATCGTCCAGTTTTATCCTTTTTATTGATGTTCTACTTCCTACAAAAGAGAGAAAGATTTGATCAATATATGAAAATTTATTTAAAACTTCAATCAATACATATTAAGTGTAAATATGCATTTGATTCACTTATTCCATTCTTCATATACATATATAGACCTTATTGTAATATGATCCGATCATAGTGTGAAACTGTTATTGTACACCGTACTAGGACGAAATTTTTCCGAACATAATACACGAAATGTTTACGTTTAAGATTGTTATATTGACGTTTCTTTCCAATCCACTAGAAAGTAAATTAGTTACTAGGTACAATAACAAAGTAATTTCTATACATTTTTAGTACTCAACTCAAACGATATAAATTAATAGGCCTGACAGTAGGAGTAAAGTTTTCTGTCTTTTCTTTTTGTTCTTATCGTAGCTAGAGTCCATCGGGCCCTATCCGGACTCGACCGAGTTCGGGTCTGAAAATTTTGTTTCGATCGGGTCCGAGTCCAGAAATTCTTGGATCCGATGAGCTCTACCCACAAAAGACCAGTCAATTAGGTCCGAATTCAACAATTTTGATCGGACTGGTCCGGATCCAACAAATTTTAATCAATCGAATCCGAGTTCAAAAATTCTTGGACCCGATGGACTCTAGTCGTAGCTTCATTCTTCAGGGACATAGTTTTAAAATAAAATTATCTCATCACAAAAAGAGATCGATCCATATTACAAAAAAAAGATTGTGATATTGTAGGTCAAACTATAAAGAAAAATTTTAACTAATAGGCAACAGAAAGAAAATATTCGAATAGGCGTCATCGCCATAGAAAGATTATTCAAATTTGAAGAATATCATAATAAGTAAATTTTTTTCGAAGACAATTCGTTTCATTCGTCAGACAATTTTTCGAGAAATGATAGTTCTACTTAACGTTGGTTCTTAGTCTTGTAAAGATGAAAATCAATACAATCTTCAAACACTGGACATACCTGATCGTCCAATCAGTTGAGAAACATCGATAGAAGACTGATCTCTTGTTTCATGAAGTTCTTTCTTTTGAAAACATTCACGACATATCTCGCTTCGCCATTCATGTGACAAAAAAGTAGAACATGTGGTCATGTTTGCTCTTTTTTTTCTGAAAAAACAAACTAATTAAACGAAATGATCTTGAAGAAAAATTATGCACTTTTTTTTACAGTAGGTGTCTACTCAAGCAAACAAAAAAACGCGTGACAACGCTATAGGAATTTTGAATGTTTTCGAACGCTAATCGTGGTTCTTGATGATCATTCAAAAAAGCGCACAACATGAAAACGATCACTTCTTACACTGGCTAAATTTTTTGAGGGTTTGTGCATTATAGTTTCGTAGGCATTTCACAAGTACCTTTGTAAACGTTTCTGACTTACAATCGGGAACCACAATTGGCATCCTGAAGCGTCCAAACTATTCGTGCGTTTATATGGGCCATTATATTTTTTCTATTTCTAAGCCTCTTTTGGTTTGTTTTTTTTTCCATGATACTTTTGTCCGTGTAAGCCATTCAGATAATAGATATCTTCGTCAATATACCGATTAAGTTATCTGCAAACCTATCTTGTATCTATATACCTGTTTAACTTACTATTACCTATTTGTATATCTATCTACCTAGTTAACTACATACAAAACCTGCTGCTTAACTATTTATCGGTCTGCTATTTATGTCTACCTTGAAAGTTGAATTCAATTATTGAATACTTGAAATGTTGAATTTCA